GTGGTTCAAAACTATGCGTCAAAAATACAAAGGCACGTAGAGGAGATCGTATAGGAATATGTGTGCGGTAATGCCGCGTTCGTCACACCAATGCGAAACTGGCGAACATGCATTTCATGTGTGGGGCTGTACAAGGAAATGGATTTGCTGCTCAAAGAATGTATAGGGAACGATTCTACATTACCTGAACTTTTGGTCGATATTCCTCCAGCTATTCTCAAACGAATGCGATACCAACACGATGGAGCCCCAGCGCACTTCCGCCGGAAGGTCAGGAATCACCTGGACTTTGCCTAGGGCCAGCACTGGATAGGATGGGGAGGGTCAGTTCTCTAGCCACCGCATTTTCCTAATTTAATCTGCTTATACTTCTTCTTTTAGGGTCATATTAAAGGTCTCGTATAGCCGGTAGTCTCGTAAAATCTGCAGATCTTGTTGCCCACTTGTCTGTTGCTGCTGCAATGTGCTCGACATGCCTGATGTCTTTTCTAATGTACGCCGATCCATGCGTCACTACTGTGAATCTTCTATCGCTGTTGGTGGCCTCCCTTTCAAGCATATATTGTAAACTGTTAATATATATATTTTTTCGTCTGCACTTGTATTTACAGTTTTCCATGATTCATACTGCTTTACGTGCTAGCGCTTTCCTGCAGCATTACCGCACATACATTCCTATACGAAATCTGCCTTTATATATTTGACATATAGGTCTGAACCCCCCCCCCCCCCCCCCATATATGTCCACTCTGTTACTCGGCTCAGTAAGATCAGTTTTTTTATTCTTATATGTTTGTAAATTCTGCATTTTTTGCGTATTGAATTATGTTGCTCTTGTCTTCCGTTGAAGATTTGTATGTCTTTAGTTAACATGCATGCAATAATTGTGGAATTATCAACATCTTGAAAGTTTTTTTAAGTGCGGTTAAGCCTAATTACTTCCTTCCACAAAGTAAAATGATGTATTGTAATAGTGAAAAGTTTTAGGCATCCTATTTCAACGCAAATATACATTTTTACCGCTATCGAATGCAATTTAACGATGTTTTTGCGCAACATCTGTACATAAGGAAAGAATAAAGGACTTTTTTCTCACAAAAAATTATAAAACTAATTTAAAATGTATTCTGAAGATAATTTTTCGTGGCGTCTGTACGTATGTATCTCGCATAACTCAAAAACAAGTAGCCTCAGAACGTTGATAATTTGTATATAGGACTACTATAACATGTAGATGCGTACCTTGTATTTTGGTTGCAATCGGCCGCACCACCAGTATATAAATATATGTATATATACACTCTTTTACTCGGCTCAGAAATTTCAGTTTCTTTATTCTTATATGTTTGTAAATTGTGCATTTTTTGCTTTAAAAACGATTAAATTATGTTGTTCTTATCTTCCGGTTAAGGTTTTTATGCCTTTAGTAAACCTGTATGCAATATTTGTAGAATTATCAACAATTTAAAAGTTGTTTAAGGGCGGCTAAGCCTAATTATTTTTACCATGGTGGCCATGTTTGCTTACATTTGAAACTTGGCAGAATAGTGATTTGTCGCCAATCCAGAGAAACTAAGCTTTGCAACAACAAAGATCAAGCCTTCTTTTATTATTATAAATTAAATCATGCTTAATCCATTTTGGAATTTATTTGAAGAAATAAGTGTTTAAGATTTACTTCGTAATTTAAATATACATGTTTTGAGTTTTATGTATTTTAGCCTTGTAGAGAAGTGAGGAGTGAATTAATTAAATGAGAAATGCTGAATCATCTGTTAAAAACTTTTTTTTTTTTTTTCAGGGGGGGGATTGTTTAATTTCTTTTATATATCGTTTTAGATTTATTATAATATTTCAATAGAACGTGGCAACGATTAGATTAGATAATTCTTCAGATGATATGAATTTTGTGCATTCAGAGTTATAAAATGAATGAAATACAACGCTGTTAAGGGAACTTAGGGTAGCACCAGTTTGTCACTATGGTAAACAAATATAGTGAGTTTTAAAGAGTGCATTTATTCTATTGTGGTTTATGCATTATTGATGAAGTAGATTTAATTGAATCCAATAAGTTTAAATGAAATACAAGAACATATGCGTATAATTTGATATTTCGTATAAGGAAGTCATGTGGTTTACAAATGAGATTTTCTTTTATTAGGATAGCAGTCATATTTGTTTAGATTTGAAACTTAGCAGAATAGTGGATTTGTTGCCATTCTAGAGAAACTAAGCTTCCCAACAACAAAGTAATGTCTTTTATTATTGCCAATTAAATTATGCTTAATCCATTCTGGAATTATCATTTAAGTTATTAGCTTGTTTTTGCGTAAAAATTGGTAATTTTATTTGTAAGATTTTTTTTAATTGTTTTATCTGTACATGGTGTTTTACGTTTTTCTACATCTTTCAATTTTTAATGAAAATATTTTGAATTTTTATGTATTTTTGCGTTGCCGCGAAGTGAGAACTAAATTAGTAGCGCATGCGCATTAGGTAAGTGGCGCTGAATTATCTGAAAAACTGTTGCTTCTTTATTTGTTTAATTTCTTTTATACATCGTTTTTTTATTACAACGATGTATAAAAGAATATTTAGATTATTATAGTATTTGAATAGAACTTGTGGTAATTTTCAGATGATATAATTTTTGTGTACTCTGAGTTAAAAAAATCAATAAGATGTAACGTTGTTAAGTGAACCTAGCGCCGAAGCGTCGCTATGGTAAATAAATACAGGGAACTTTAAAGAGTGCATTTATTCTACTGTGGTTTATGCGCTATCGACGAAGTAGATTTCATTCAAAATTCGTTAATTCAATATGTTTAAATGAAATGCAGGGAAATTGCGTGTAATTTAATATTCCGTACAAGGAAATCATGTGGTGTACACATCAGATTTTTATACTAACTATCGATAATTACTAGATATAGATAATCTAAGTAAAACACTTAAGGTATTTTTCCAGCCTTCTTAGAATGCCTTCGTGGTGTAATGGTCAGCACACTCGGCGCGTATTTGAGAGGTCCGAGGTTCGTGTCCCGGCGAGGACATTGGTCATTTCTCATATCTTCTGTTTCAAAATAACCTTATGTCTCTAATGCGGCGCCCTAACTAGAAACGTTGGTGGATAATTCTGCACCACCAGGATTTGGCAATTGAGTCTCCTAATCCCCAGTTGTCCTTTAAAAGGGGGAGTATATAAGGTATCTCTCCCGCCTTCTTAGCATGCCTTCGTGGTGTAATGGTCAGAAAACTCGGTGGTTCGAGTCCCGGTGAAGGCATTGCTCATTTTTCATACCTTATACTTTAAAATAACTAATGTCTCTGCAACTTCACTCATTGAAATCAATAAATGGTGCATATTTATACACCGTGTGATCCAAAAGTAAAAATTCAATAATTTGAAAAGTATAGAAAACAGCGTGATGTGGTTTTTCGCAGAGATACACAGAAAGATATGGAATTTGTTTTAGTATTAAAAATTTGCACAAGAAAATGCGACGAACATTCAGAATCACCCTGAAGACGCATCGTTTTAGGAGCCCATTAGTGGCCGAGTGGTAATGGGATCAAAACCCGACGAATGGGTTTTCTCCATGTGTAACGTGGATAACCATCCTTACATAATTCCAAAGATTTAAAAAAGAAACTGAAAGTAAGCGATTTCTGAGGATGTCTTGAATTTGCAAACTGTGTTTTTCAACAGACAGAGCTATCAAAGGTCCTGTGGACTTATGGGCGTACCTGACACTTAATGGAAGTGTAAAATTACACAACTGCCATACCTGAGTGATACAGAACACACAACTGGGAAACTTTTGATAGCATGGGATGGATTCATTGCCATTTTTTCTTTGAGGAAGTCCACAGCGGTATGTTTCAAACTGTTTCTGTTAGTGGTCGTTAGGCAGCGTTTGTAACAGACAACAATATTCCCTCCTTACAAGAGAGGCAAGTGCTCTCCAGGTTACAAGATGCAACACCAGGGCGACCGATATAACTGATGGTCATATTGAAAGAATTTATTTTACATTATACGACAAGAACCACAGCTAAACTCTCTTTGATGCTTCGATCTGTGTCACGTCTGAGGGTTATTCTTGAACAACGGGGCTCACTAGCGGCGAGCAGTCAAGGCGCTGAACACTGGTAGCTCAACATGGGTTCGATTTCCGGCAAATAAGCATGCTGTATAGGCATTTTTGCAATTTTCCTCACATGTTACGTGTATACGAACGAGTTTCCCTTAGAAAGTCCTCCAAGAAGGCATCCTATGTCCATAGAAAGACAGTCCTCGTGTGCTTAATGAAATAAACCAAATCGTATGACTGACGGTCATTATACTGAACGTTTGTAACCATAGATGCGTTGTGAACTGTGATCTATCAGTGTATGAATTTATAACACAAATGAAGGATCACATGTCAGTGATAAATGTAATTATTTTGTCAAAATATCTCTCTTTATTGAACGAAATTTTTTGTCTTTTTGTGTACAATAGCGTTGTGCTGCTGTCTATACTTCTATCTTGGAATTTTTACCTTTTTTGCTATTTTTAGATCTTACTAAATTCTAAATCGATACTTAATACAAACTGTTCGTTGGAAGCAATTTTACGGCTAATATGTAAAGATAAAATCGCTGGCAAATGAACAGCTATTATGGTTTAAAACACAAATATACTTCAAAATCACGTTGATATTATATAAAACAACAACAGAAAATTGGCTTGGCACTTACTTAAAAGATTGGACAAGCAACATCTTCCACATGTGTACATCGATAAAACAGATATTAATTTGACAAGCTGTGATTAACAAAAGTATTACTTCCTATATTAATTGAGGTTTTAAAGCCAGTGCCAAATGCGGTGTTTAACAAATCTATTATTTTTTAATATTTTATTATTATTATTATAAAGGTAAAATATTTATTAGGTTTACAAACGTTTTACAACTGATGTGGAAAAAATATTAAATTGAGGATTCACTTACTCCCAGAACTCAACAGCAGCATCCACTTTTGGACTATCTGCCACTTCTCCAGAAGTTAGATTGGACAGTGTAGCATTCAACTCTTTTACAGTAAGACAGGATTCAGTGTTCCAGTCGTTGTCACATGTAGCCCAAGGTAAAGTGTGCGTGAAACTGTAATACAAATACAGCAATCCCCAGCTGAGCACTACTATGTAATATACATTCAGAAAGAAGCAAATCACTGTTGTTCCATATCCAATGCCTAAAAGGCAAAAAAAGTTTGTGATCATCTGCATAAATTTTTCTCCAGCTTTAAAAAATGAGTTGTAAAAATAACTTGTGATGAAGAAAAAAAATTAGAAATCATAATGAAACTCAGAACTACTTAAACATCCTTTTGGCATGTCTGACAACAGTTCGTTTAAAAAATTCCAGATGCTACAGAAAATCATCAGTTATTAAAATTGTGAATGAAATAAAATAAAGAAAGTTATTAGTTATTAAAATTATAGAAAATCATTAGCTATTAAAAAATTGTGAATTTTCTTTGTGCTGATTGAATCTTGACATCTGAGGTTCTGAAGATATTCGTTCTTCTTCTCTTCCCTCCCTTTATGCCAATTAGTAGATTTTAAGATTCACCTTTTAGTTTACCGTAAACAACAACAACAAAAAAAAAAAAAAAAGGAAACTTTTACCTCTCATAATACATTCATGTTACATATTTTTTACTTTCATTCATTCATTAAGCAGACTCTGGATGAATAAAAAGAGGTCACGCAAAATGGCTTTCATATGGATCTTCGACACAGGGAAGAAATTTGTATGGCTCTTATAGCAATAGTATAATTTTGTAAACAGAGTAAAAGAACACAATCAGTATTATTTTACATTGTTTATGCTATTGTACTTCAATAAATTTCTTCACTTTTTGCATGTATAGAAATTACGAGACAGTACGATAGTTTATTTAAGCATCACACATTTTCTAATTAAAGGCGGAGCTGAGAAAGCTGAACTAAATATGCAGATAATTTATCTTTCGAAAATGAGACAATTTTCTGTTGATAATAACAGCAACACATTCCTACCATCCATTACTGACAAAACAAAGGCAGGATAGTATTTACGGCATGGGAAGTTGAAATTGAAACTGTCAAATGGCAATTTATAATCACAACTCGTACAGCTGTTCACTTAGGATGTGCCTCCTTTCGGCTCACAGATTATTTACGCACTGAATGCAGTTCCAGAATTTTCTAATGGCTACAATGAAGAGATCACGTGTTCTACAGTTTTAATAGAATGATCGTGGACTGCAAACGCTACGTTCAAAAATTAATTAGAAAAATTAATTGAACAGAATACGAATGTGAAAGCAATTAGTGAGAATTGCCATAATTATTATATTTTCAGAATCTAAAATATAAGTCTTCCGTCATACAAGCATGTTTAAAACCAGGGTGTTCGATATTAGAATCCAGTATGACAACCTACAGTTTGCTTTTATGCGCTTTGTTCGTTAAAATAAGTTACGTTAAGATATATTAACTTATGTTAAAATAAGTTTTCGACATTAAAAGGGTAGGGTACGAACTGCGCCAAATTTGATCGAAGATCCCCGTCCCCATCTTATCTAATCCACAAACTGCGCGACGTTTCCTGTCCCCTATTTCTTTCCCAAGATTGAGTCCTACAAAAATTTATTTCTCGACCTTAATGGGACATTTTATTGAGACTGCAAGCCTTTATTTTCGTTTATCAACATTGTAAAAATTGTGCATGCAAAACAAATATTAATTTAAAGTCTGGCGTGTGCTAAAGTAAAAAGAAATTTCTTTTACACTCGTTTTAAAGTTTTATGATGCTTAAAGGAATGAGGAGCAATATCTTTTTTATTCTCTGTAAGAATTAAAAACTTTCCAAGTTGTAGATTTTAGTCGCATATATCAGTTTTGAATAGTAAAATTGATAGATTAATGACATACACAAAACTGATACATAATCAACCTATCAAATAGCGGATTTGTAGCTCACCTTAAATAAGTTTCTTGTCTAGATAAATATTAACAAATCTTCTTAGATAGCAGAATGGTTTTAACTTTCAAATTTACCATTTTAGGTAAACAGTTCTAATTTAATTAAAAAAATTCTCTTTATTAAATCTAAAAATTGGACTTATTAAGTCGTTCTAAACTCACACTAATATTATTGCAATATATTCCCGTATTAAGCTTTCTATTTTTAGTCATTGAAGTTATTTTAAGGTTTTAAACTTTCTTACAAATTCTATATTTTAATACTAGAAACGTTTAAACATTTATTCTGTTTTCCACCTGATGTACTTTGGCATACATTTAATTTCTAATACACATTTAATTAATAAATTAATAATTATGAGCGTCAGCAGAATTTTCAGAATTAACAAACAAACAAACAAAAAAAAAAAAAAAAAAATCAAACTCCCTTATATTCATATCCTGGGATTTTCAGTTCCCTTTTAATCTATTCCTTTTTCACATATTGTTGCACTGTACTCAAGTTTTCATGTATGTAGAATTTATATACTTTGTATTGTAGTTATGCCAATTTATATTTAAATGATAATTTTTACAAATTCTTGCATCACAACTCTAGTTAACAGAATACGTTTCCAACACCTTGTCAAAGCTTAATCTTTATTTTCTAACCTAGTTTCAGGCTGAATTATTTGTAAAATTAATTACTTGAAATTATTTGTTAACAAAGATGGTCGCTAGATCACGCTGATAATATTTCTAACTGTTGTAATTTATAATGCAAGGAGTTCGTGTGATTTATAATATTATTCATTTATAATTTTTTCAGCAGTATTGAAGTTAATACTAACAATATTATACATTTAGATTACAGCGTTTTAGATTTCCATTGCCTTCTTCATTGATGCTTTTATGCTACATTCCTAATATTTCATAATGGCCTACTTATCTATGTTTAACTCATTCACCAAACATGTAAATCTATAATTCAGCCCACTTTTGTTTTTACATGTGCTGAATCTTCTACTTTCTTTAATATATTGTTCTGCTTAATTTCAAAAGATCTTACGATCAAGCGGAAAAGTCACTAAACATTGGTAGTTCGATCCGAGTTTCAAATCCCAGAGATCCTCTTTTTTTTTTTTTTGTTTTTGTTGTTGTTTGTTGTGTTTGTGTACTTATTTACTGTGAAGAAATGTAACGTAAAAATTTCAGTTCCTGAAGTAAAAATACTTTTTTTGATTTAATCTTTAAAAATATTGCAAAAATTTTCCCCTTTACCTTAGCATGTCTTTTTAGAAATCTCTCTAATAAGAAAATATAAGGAAAGATATTAAACTCGGTTTCGGTGATCGATACCTCGGTGCAAATTATATGAAACATTTTTCCAAAAGCATAGAGTTTATATGGATATCAATAAATTAAGGATTATTTCTCCATCTAATTTTCTTAACATGTTTATTCCAGAATTTTCTTTTCACACTGTAGCGCTTAACTTTATGAGTTTTCTATATACTCATTCAATTTCTCTAGTCCATAGGCAACTTTGCATATCTTCTGACAAGTAGTTATATTTTTAACCACTGTATTTTAATTCCTGTTGACTATCAGTACACTATTCACTTGTTTCACAAGTGCAACTTTTATTTTATACGCAAATCTACGTAAAATAGCATTAAAACTTCAGTTATGCTGAGCTCCTCATCGATTGCTTGTTAAAATTGAATGAAATTAAGCTTAATGTTACTGTTAATTAACTTGTTATTAATTTAATTATACATTTCTAATTAATTATATGTTCAGATATTTCCAAGTATATTACTCAAACTTTTGCATCCCAATTTTTAATTTTTGGTTAAAAAAATAAACTTTTATTTATTGAGATTCCTGACTGATTATATTAATTTGCAGTATTGTTTATCCAATTCCTTTCTTCTAGATAAATTTTAGAAAAAACTTCTTAGCATAATTTAAATTTATTTACAATTTATACGTCAGTGTTCCAAATGCACAGTAATGTTATTATAACAGATTTCATGCTAAGCTTTTCTTAAATTTAACTAAATTTAATTTCTGCAAACATTTACATGATTACTTTAATTAACAAAAAATATTTTTAGCACACTTTAACACACTTTGATATGGAATAATTTTTTGCATGCTAGTGAACTCTATTAAATTTTCCTGTTTAGTTCAGACATCTTGACTATTACTGATGTAATTTATTAAAAATATAAGTTGTATGCTTTATAATTATTTAATTTATGATATTACAATAATAAATTAAAGATGTTTGTACGGGGCGTATTCGGAAACTAAGTACCGTTTTGAAAGAAAAAAAAAAAAATGTAGAACAATTTTTTCGAATCTAATTTTATTTTTACATGAAAATACATGTCTTAAACTATTTTTCAACATAGTTTCCGCCAATGATCAAACACTTGTCATAGCGGGTGACCATTTTTGTATACCATTGTCAAAGAAACTTCCCGCTAGTTTCGATAACCACGACTCGACAGCATTTTTCGTGTCATCGTCAGATCCAAAGCGCTTGCCAGCAAGCTCGTGCTTCATTTGCAGAAACAAGTGATAGTCGGACGGCGCCAAGTCCGGGTTGTACGGCGGGTGATCTAACTGCTCCCAATGAAACTGTCTAATTAACCATTGAGTGACACCAGCAGTATGGGGCCGAGCATTGTCATGCAGCAACACAATTCCTTTACTGAGCATTCCTCTTCGTTTGTTTTGAATAGCACGCCTTAGTTTTGATAAAGTCTCACAATATCGTGCCGCAATAATGGTTTCACCTCTGGGAAGAAATTCAGTAAGCAAAACGCCTTTCCTATCCCAGAAGACAATGCACATGATTTTTTGTGATCACATTGTCACTTTGAACTTTTTTTTTTTTTTTTTTTTTTTCGGAGAATGAGTGTGTCTCCACTCCATCGATTGTTGTTTCGATTCTGGTGTGAAATGACACACCCAAGTTTCATCACCTGTCACAATTTGGTTTAAAAAGTTTTCTCCCTCATCACTGTACCGCGTGAGAAATGTCAGGGCACTACCAAGTCGCTTTGTTTTATGAACATCAGTGAGCATTTTTGGAACCCATCGGGAACACAGTTTGCGATAATTCAAGCGGTCAGACACAATTTCGAACAAAACAGTACGTGAAATTTGTGGAAATGCCTCTGAAAGAATTGTCATTGTGAAGCGTCTGTTCTCATGAATTGCTTCATCAACTTTCCTTACCAAATCATCGGTGACAACAGAAGGCCGACCACTCCGAGCCTTGGCGTGGACATTTGTTCAACCTGCATTAAACATTCTTACCCACTTTCTCACCATACCATCACTTATCGCGTATTCACCGTGAACTTCTGTCACTTGACGATAAATTGCGGTCGGTTTAACATTCCTCGCGTTCAAAAATTTAATCACGGCACGAATCTCACAGTCAGCGAGAGAACTTGTAGGGTTTATATTTATTTTAACTAACATTTATTTTAAGTTTAAACTATCTTTCCTGTCAAGCCTTACTTTCCCCTGAACTGCCAATGCCAGAGTATGTAAATTTTAGTAGAACGCGCAAGGATTCAAATTATCAGCGAGTTTCCGAGTTAAATAGAATGGAAACGAGTTCGAGGTGTGCTGTTCTTACTTCACGAGCGCGGAGGTAGTTAGCCTGAAATTGAAGAACCCCGCGTTTCGGCCTGTGTGCTTGCCTCGGAGAATTGTTAATCGTTCAACGTGATATTCCAAGTTTGCTGAATTAGCAGCGGTATTGTAAAACGCGGTGAGGTTAGTTACGTTTAGAGAGCCTCGTAGTTAGAGTCTTGTTATTATTTCTTTTCAGGCTCTTATTTTTTATTTTACCGCCGGGTCGGCGTAGTTTGTGAGCGTCAAGAGCACGCAATTGTAATTTCTTAAGTTGAATAAAAAGGGACTTAAACCCTTAGCAATACTCTGTCTATTTTCCAGTTTCAACAGTCACCTCTTGGTTGCGTGCAGGTTGGAGGCGCGCAACTCTACAAACTAATTGTCTTAAACATTTTGAATGTACACAGCAAACTGAAAACACAACATAGAGCAACCAAATGGCAACAATTGAAAGTCAGTGAACAAGAAAGACTAGTGTGCATGCGCGGGACGTCTACCACAGCGCTGCAACGGCGCTAGAATGAAACGGTACTTAGTTTCCAAATACGCTACGTAATACTAATATGTATGTTTACCAATACCTTTTATTTTCTTTGTTAGCTCTTGCATTTATTACTGTTATTCAAGTAATTAGCCTGCTCGTTAAATATTTTTTACTTGTTCTTGTGATATATAATTCTATTTATTTTTATTTTCCTCTTGGCTACAATTGGCTTCGAAAAGTTAAATTGTAACCCTGTAGGCAGTAGGGGGGAAGAAATTTGATTGGCGCAGTTGGACTATAGCTCGACCCGGGAGGGATTTTCATTAGCACAGTTGGAGTACACCCATTGACAGATATTTACATTTCACAAAGGACTTAAATTCAGACAGAGTTTCACAGCTAGGCTCTGGAATTTCTCATTTTTCCAGCGAAAAACGTAGCTTCAGATACAGTTCTGAGATAAAATCCGTACTTTGTGTTATAACCGAATCACGAAAGAAGCAGAGTTACTAAATTAATATTTCTTTTAGCAATTAGTAATTCATGGTAGTTACTGAATATGAACTTACCATTTCCTCAGAATAGCAAAATGTGCGGGAAAACCTGAGTACCTGAGAAACAAAGGTCTTGCGTTTAAATACCCTCTCTTTAAGAACAGGAATATTTATGAACTCTATCCATTTTATTAAGAAAGCTTTAAATGACTAGTAGCTAAAACAAAGAAGCAATTTTTTCTGACCGGGAAGAATACTATTCGAAAACTTTTTCCTATCCTGAATGTATTACGCTTTGTTATCATTAATTTAGCCACTTTCTTTATTTCATTTCAACCAAGCACTGGCTTAATTTCCTCTATTTAGCACTAATTTATTAAAACTATTTCATTTTAATTATCATTTATATAGCGTTTTAATTGCTTCCTTTCCTGTGCCGTTAACATATGGCACTCTATGGGCTCCAGACACGTTAAGCCCTGATTATCGTATATCGAAGATAAGACAGCCTAGAAGAATTCAGCCTTTGAATGCGAAAACTCTAGTATTAATTAAAAATACAGATATCAATGGTTCAAAGGATTCTGATAACTGATTCAGAAAGAAGCGACGAAAGACATCTCTATACATAAATGACAGCTTTAAGGGAAATCCAGATTAAAAGAATAAAAGCACATACACAACTACACGAAAACAATATTATACGACATGACGAAAATAAAAACTAGATTTAGACAGGAATTTAAACGTCAAATTATGTTTCTAAAACAGAAGTGTAGGATGTGAAGATTCAAAAACATTTGTTTCGAACTATACTTGCACATATCTTAGGGCTCTATTTTGCACAGTTATGGATGATACGATTTTTCGTTACTTATAATGCAATTTTTCTGAACATTATTTCAAACTGAGTGTAAATTACATTTGGTTCACTGTTAGAAGGTTTATAACTTTTAAGTTACATTCACTGTTTGCTATACAACAGCGAAATTTAGATCAAAAGCATTACTATCCACTTAAAAAGACAAAAAGATGATGCAGTGATGAATATGTAGAATTAATACACAATTCACACACTTTTAAGATTTTCTTATTCAATTTACCAAAAAATCAACAACAATATATTATTACCTTTGAATATTGGACATATCTCCCAGACTGTAATGCCTCCTTGGCTTGTGAATTGCCCAAGAGCGATTTCAAGTATGAAAACTGGAGCACCACCAGCAATGAGGCAGATGAGGTACGGAATTAAGAATGCACCTGAAATGAAATAATGCGTATGTATAGTGAACATTTTGAGCAGTACACTTAAATGATATGCATAATTTTGTTCGGAAAAAAAAGAAAACTTGAAGATTTGGAAATTTTGCAGATTCTGCTTTACGGAATATTTAAGTAAACTAAAAATTCTGTATAACAGCAAATACATATAGAGACAGGTTTCATGTACATAAAATGCTGTTTACTTGCATAATATGTACCTGACAAGCACATTGAACTATACTTAAGTTATCACAATGTTATCTAAACTTTAACTCTTGATAAGGTTTGACTTAGTACTGATTAGTTGTTTGATTTAGATATACAGTCAAAAGTCTTTAATCCGGACTCGTCGGGACTTCGGCGATTCCGGATTATCGATTTTTCCGGATTATAGATCATCAGTTTAAATCTGGTAAGATGGCATGCAGAAATTAAAAATTAAAAATAATGAACCGGTATTTTATAAAATAATGAGCAATTATGATCTAAAGGGTATCAAAATTTACCAAAAAGAAGCCTAATATTTATTTGTTTACTTTATTAAACATTTCTTTCAACGCGCGCGGATGCGTAAAGCATACCTTACGCATAGCCGAAATTAGAAAATTGCAACCAGAAAACTATCTGATTTCTATTCGTGGTATTTATAATGACGAGGAATTTGATTTAAATCATATCAAAGACCGAGTACATCGAAATTAAATACTACATTTAGTAAGGAATTATAAGCCGAATAAAATAAAAACATCTGCTCCTGAAGATAACGGATAGTGTTGACAAATCCAACTTCCAGTTCATTGCGCGCCGCGACGTCTTCCCCCCCCCCCCGCGCAGAGCAGCGTGAAATCGATAAACAGATTTCGGAACGGTTAGATAAACAAAGAATATGCCTTTATCCATTTTTTGTAGCAATTCGTTTTTTGTTTGATGGACATCGAAACATACTTTCGTTTTCTAGATCCTTTGGGAGCTCCAGCATCGGAAATTCTATTTGACACAATCAAAAGTTCAAGCTTACTTTTAGAAAATTGCTCTTACAGTCTGCAAAAAATAATAAGCCGGATCCGATTCGAAGATTAAGGAACAACGCAATCATCAACATTAATTGAAATAGATAATTAGATAATTTAGCTTATAGCGTCCGTTATACATTAAACGCGCACGCGAAAACGTTTCTGCACTTGCGCAGACGCATATGCGCAGTCGTAAATGTCTTGGGCGCACGAGTAAAACGCCTTTGCGCATGCGTCAATGCGGCGCATGCGCAGAAAGATTTTAGCTTTGAGGTCCGGATTATAGATCATTCCGGATTATGGGTGTCCGAATTAACGACTTTTGACTGTATAAGCTTTTCTTTTCACGGAAACTTACGGAACGTGTGGTTTTTACGGAATTTTGTTTTTATTTATAATAATTTTGTGAAACAAGAGAAAAAAGTGCTATTGGCATAAATCCTTTGTTAGAAAACTTTCAAGACAGTTTTGGTTTTGAGTTTAAAGTACTAAAAAGGAAGAAATGTTGTTTTTATGTTACCTGGTATGTATTCTTACTTGATATGATCTTGGCCATGTTTCCACGCAAACTTACTAGGTGGTACGGCTGTTCTTAGCAACGCACTGTTCGAGTTGTTGTTGCATTCGTAAAGGTGACACAATGGATGCTGATTGTGAGCAAAGATTGAACATGAAGAACCCCGAGCTTCACTAGGGGTTCGAGAAAACCCCTAGTGAAGCTCGGGAAAATCCATAGTGAATTTTTCACTCGGGAAAATTTCTACTTGTAATTACAGTGTATAAGAAACAGGTCCTCCTTCTACAGAACAAAGCAAAATAATGAATTGTTTCAAGTGTAAACATGATGTCAGCTTCTACTGGCAGTTACTAACATTTGATTGGTTCTCAGAACAAGAACAGTGATTGGCCATGAAAGCAAGATATTACCAACCACTTCATAACTGTGTTTTTTATTTATATTCAAGTACATATAACTTTTTTTCTATTGCAAATAATTGAATTTTGTGTTTTGTATTGAATTCAGTAATAAATTATCTTTAAAATGATATATACGAGTTTGCATTTTGCGAAACGTAACATTTTTTATAAGCATACAAAGTTAAAAAACATAAAAATTTGTATATGTAAATTATTCTACGGATATTTTCTTTTAATATTGCACACTGGGTCTTGCATTTAACCAAATTTTCGCAATGTACTGTTGTTTCTGTTAATGTTAGTAGCTTTTTGGACGGCATTTTCTCCATGTGATCATGTACGCTCTCATTGTTTATTATTAATCATTCTAACTTCATTATTAGAAAAAATTCTTTAAAAAAATCTGTATATATGACTAAAAAAATTATATAAAAAAAAAGAAATAGAAAAAAAAATATATTAGAAATCTTGGGCATATTATTAGTTTGCATTCACCCGTTCGCCAGAATTCGAAGGCTGAACCGAACTACCAGTATACAACGACTTCACCGCTCGGCCATTAAGGGAAATAAGATACTGTAAACTAATCATACTGCTGTTAGAAGATAGTATATTGTTTATCAGGTTCTAAAATACGTATTTACTTATAAATATATCAAATAACTTAAAAAAAGCTAAGAACTGGTGACTGGGCTTTGAACTGCGATTTAATATTTTTTCCTTTGCTTCGGTTAAACGAATTTCGATAAATAGAATTATTATTTCTCTCTCTCTCTCTATATATATATATAATGCATTTTCTACTATTTTCCTGATTTTTTTTCAGTTCTTCATTTCGCTTTGAATACTGTTGAATAAGAGGAAGTAAGGCTACAGGGCATTTGACTGAGAATTAGCCGTAACTACTTGGAAATGACGAAAATATTGCCATTATGAACTCGAAAGAATTTCATTATATGAAATTGGAGAATTCTCACTACGAAATTTCTTTTCTAGTCGGGAATGTCCGATATGTTTCAGACGCAGACCGCAAGTGCCAGGAAGCGTCGGGAAGTCCACCAAAATAAGATAAGAGAACTTGGCAAATGACTCTTAATATTTCGGCCTCTCTTCAGAAGGGGAGCGTTTGACATTTCCCGTCTAACTATAGTGTAAATTCATTCTATTCATCTACATTCGCATTCCTGATTTAAGTTCAAAACCGGGAGAGGAAGGGACAGATCTTTTAATAGCACTTATTTTATCTCGATCTTTGATTGTAATTTACCGTTTCGTCATGCCTTATTCTCGTAAATTCGTCCGATATCGGAATAGTAAAGGAGATGATAGTTGCGGAAGACGTATCCCATGACCTTTTATGCCACCATGCTTTCACTAACCTCCTAAAAATCTCGTCTCACCTACTTAGGCTGAAATCTGCTGTAAGAGAAACAGGAGGTAAAGTCCGGGTGGTGGGTCAACCTCCTTAACCCGATCAAAGAAAAAATCCACTCACGTTTGTAAACATCATTTGCGAAGAGATAAGCAAAAAACAAAGCAGAATTTGATATTTCCACGAAAACTGCAACAGTAATGCAAAACATTTCGAGGAGACCATGAAGTCCTCTGACGAATTAAACAGTCTATTCAGAACAGTTCGTGGTCTTCGTTAAAATACATTTGCTCATTTCTAGCTAAATGCACTCACATAGCAGTAAATATAAGGAAGAAATATACTTCAGCGATTTTCATACAATTTTAGTCTTTTTCAGGGTTTATTGTTACCTAATACTAAGTGCCTAACTTTTGCATCGTTTACACTGGTATTAGAACTAAAGGTTTTGAAAAAGAAATGCAGTAATTTATATAATATTTATATCCATAGTTTTTTCGTTCATGCCGCTCAGACGGGAAAATGGCTGGTGAATTTGATTACCGTTTTGAAGGCCGCGGGTTCAAATCCCAGAGAAGACATAGATGTAAACTGTCTGTGCCTTCACAGAAGGCAATGGTGGCTCCCCTACTAGGTGCCTTCATAATAAAGTGACCACCGCGTCCTACCTTAGCAGTGGCCAACGCCTATAATGGCTAATGTCCGCCTTGGCAGTATACTTGCTTAGAATTAGGATAGCTCTCTTATGTACGTAGGCGATTATATTTCGAAATTTCAGGCGGGGGAGGGGGAAGGAATTTTATCTTCTACTCACGTAACAGCTGCGATTGTTTATATTGATATAGAATATTTTTCATTTTTAATGCAATTATTAATTTAATCATTTGGATGTGAACGGATAAATTTTATAATTCACCCTGAAGTTGCATGTGTGTAGCAATAGTAAGTAGCAACCCCATTCTACCTCATTTGAAAATTTATCTTTAGTCGAGGCACTAAGAATATCTGTTTAAAATGTTGCATTAAAACTTCGAAAAATTAAACAAAGTTACTGACGCAATTTACACAGTGATATTTACAGAAAAGAAATTTAAAAACATTAGAGCTAAAGTAAGTGTAGACTACCTACCAACAGTAAAAAAGGTTTCTGCGGAAGATTTCGAACGTTTTGCATTCACCTCACTACTCTAAAGTAATCGAACTTCATACTATCAGTTTGCTAGTTTAATGAAACACACTGAATTTAAAGCAGATCTGCACTGTTATAATTTGTGTAGTGTCGAATGCTCTGTTCACTGTCAAACCAAACAATTAAAACTGTACTTCAGTATTTAGTACAAATAAATTTTTATACTGCAAAGATTTTGCGCGAAGGGGAAAAAATTGAAGAAAATAATTATTTTGCATCCGCTTGTTTTCGCGTAGAAACTGTAATTTGAAATGTAAATTTTTTTATAAATTGTTTTAACTATATTTGGTGTTTTATGTTTCTCTACATCTTTCAATTATTAAAAATATCTACATTAAAATAGATATTTTGAGTTTTTACGTGTTTTTGGCCTTGTCGAATGAGAAATATACTTATCTTGAATGAGAAATATACCTCTAGTGAAATTCGATGAAATAAGTTTAAATGAAATACTGGGAAAAAATGCGTATATATTTAATATTCTGTACAAGGAAGTCATGTGATG